ACAGATATCTCCACCGTGTCTGACAGACAGGAGCTAATATTCTTAATTTTCAAAAACCTCTTAAGCTCTGTGAGACAATAAAATATTACCTCAGCACAAAAATAAATTAACTGCCTGATAAGCCTCAAAAGATCTTTAACTTCATTGAACTGTAATAAAAGATCAAAATGATACTTCAGATTGGTTACCAAAATTAAAGAGATTTTAAAACACAAGTTTTTGTAAAGGCATAGGAAACACCCTCATGCACTTCTGATAGAAATACAAATTGGTATACTCCTTCTGGAGGATATGTCAGCAATTTATATTAAAATCTAAAGTAGGCATACTCTTTGTCTATTAATCACATCCTTTGGAATTTGCCCCAAGGAGATAATCTTAAAAGTATTCAGATATGTATGTATACAGATACTCATAAAAATGACAAAACATTTAAATGGCCATATGGTTGTTATATTGTATAAATTATGATACATATGATCAGTGGAGAGCACTATTAGCCCATTCTTGGAGTAGGACTTCTGATTAACGTACAGATTGATTATCTGTATTGCTTTTGGGAATTTGAGTTCTACATATCATAAATTTTACGAAGTGTTCTTAAAGAGGAATATAGCCAAAATAGTAACCAATAAGCATATGTTTATTTACACAGTATCTGTCTTCCCCTTTAGAATATGAGCTCCATGCGGCCAAAACTTTGGCTTTATTATTATTTGCTATATATCCTCAGGGCTAAAAACTAGGCTTGGCATATAGTAGATGCTCAATAAATATTTGCTGAATGGCTAAATAGCAAGAAAGAAAATTCATGCATTCAACTAGATGACTTCTTTTTTTTTTTTTTTTTTGGTTTTTCTCCGGTACCGGGAACCGAACTCACGACCTTGCGCTTGCCAGGCAGGCGCTTTTTGCCGCTGAGCTAAATCCCCAGCCCCTCAACTAGATGACTTCTTATGCTTTACATTTTATGGACCTTTTAATAGTACAAAGATAGTTTTATGTCATTTGTAAGAACCTTTATATTAAGAATCTTATTTTCCTAATAATAAATGTGCTTATGAATTTATAAAATATTTTCATAAGCGTGATTCAGTAATATAAATGAGATGACTGGATTTTTCTCATCTGCAAAGTCTGAAACATTTTGTCCGTAACTTCAGTAAGATAACTTCCAGTCTCTATCACAGCACCTCATTTTATTCACTTCAGATTCTTTTTATTGCCTTATTTGTTTGTTTATGTTATATCTCATCATATGCCAGAATTGTTTTATTGCTTAGCACATAGAAGATGCTCATTAAACATGTTGAATAAATAAATTAAAACATACAAATTACAGTTTGGATGTTTTAAATTATGTTTAAATAATTGAAAACACCCGAAGTATATATAGTTTAAATGATAAATTATACTGTGTTAGTTAATAATATTAATCTTAACAGTAATCCCTGACCAACTATGGAACAATTTCCCTGTACTACATTCTCCAAGCGTCTCACTACCTCATTATCCTAATTTATAAAATTTTAACATTATTTATGTTAATATTTACCTAATAATCTCTACTTATGTCTAGACTCAAAGCTCTGTGAATTTAAGAGGCATGCCTGTCTTGTTCTAACATTTAACACAGTTCTTTGTACTTGGAAGGAGTATAAATATTTATTGAGTGAAGGATTATGTATAATTGTACGAGACAGATATCTCCATTTTTCAGATGAGTAAACTAAGGCTCGAAAGCATTAAGTAATTTTACTCAAAATAGTTTGATATAGAAACAAGAATTTAACCAACATCTGGCTTTCAAATATCACATTTTTTTCATCCTGACTAATAGTTTCCTGACTCAAATTTAAGCAGAATTCCTTACCAAAGGAATCTTCAAAAATATATATCCTCAGACCACACTTGGAGGCACTGAATGAGAACTTAGGAAAGTAAGTCCCTAGACTTTGTTTAAAGAAGTGAGGAAAACTATGAGTATGGTTTGAGAATCAATGACTTAGAGAGTAGGTTGGCAAATGACTGTTTGAGGACCAAATCCAACCTTTTGCTTGTTTTTGTCAGTAAAGTTTTAATAAACACAGCCATGCTCGTTCAATTACATGTTGTTTATAGCAGCCATCACACTCCAAAGGCAGAGTTTAGTCACTGTGACATAGACTGTATGGCATACAAAGCGTAAATTTTTTTCCTACATTAATTTGCCGCATCTTTGTCCACTAAAAAAGCTTTTACTTTATTAGAATGTGTTTGCAGTACATGAAGTTTACTACAGCTTGGGACATAAAATACATGTACATAACACAGCTTGTTTATTTTTAATCTTCCCCTTCGCACTCCCTCTTTGGCTTTCTCTGTCTCTAAATCCTTTTTCCCATTTTCATTCTTGCTTTATTATTCTTAGCTCGTGTTTATGACATATAGTGTTTATATTCATTGTGATTATTTGGTACTTGTACATGGAATATCTTAAATCTTCATACTTCTATTTCCCTTCACTCTCTCCCCTTGAAAATTCCTACTCTATACTTTGCTTTGCCTGTAATTTCTTTTGTGGCTGTTTTCGTACTTGCAGGTATAGAAGACCTATAATGTCTGACTTCTTGATAAGCGTGATAGTAGTCATTGTGCTGTCCTTATTAAATCAATAAAAAACACCTTATTTTTGCAATTTACCTAATATAAAAAGACTAGGCCTTAGATGACCCAAATGACCAGGTATAAAAAAAAATACTAATCTAGATAAGGTTCAAGCCAGTCAACCATCATGTTGGGTGGACTACTTTTAACAATGATTCTTTTTCATTGAGTTTGTAATACGGGTTTCCTAAGTGGCATAAGGATCAAGGTGTCTCATCTGTGTACTTTACAGCACAGGAATTGATTACCATGATTATATGTATAATAGAGAACTGTAATTAATATGCATTAGTTACTGTGGTATCCCTGATGCTGCTCTGATTCTTAAAACCAAGGTCTCTTACATGCTTTTGGTCAGAACTCAAGCTAATACTAGCAATTATCCAGGGCTGACCAGACCTCTAGGCCTGTGCTGCCTAAATACTAGCTTTTAGTCATACATAGATACTTAAATTATTTCAAATATAATAAAATTTAAAATTTAATTTCTTATACTAACCACGGTTCAGATGTTTGGTAGTTACATATGGCTAGTAGCTGTTTCATTGGACAACAAACATACAGAACATTTGTTTTAGCACAGAAAGTTCTATTGGTTGTGCTGCTCTAGATACTAGAGTTTGAGAGTCTCAGTTCAATGAAATCTATTTGATTTAATCTTTCATTTGTAAAGATGGAATAATAATTTGTGTTCTTTTTCTAACTGCAAACAATAATAAAATATTTTCAGCCCTTGATGTAGGTCCTCTCAGCTAAGAGCAATTTTTTTATTAAATTTTGATAACCTCTTTAAATCTTGACTCCAGGAAATATCTGTCTCATTTGGACCATGGACTGTCTGGTCATGATGATTAATCATTGGCTAGTTTGTGAAATGTTTCAGAACTTTGATATGTAGCCAAATCTGTTTGGCTTAGCTAAGGATGGTGGGAAAGGGACCAGTTTTAAAACAGAAGCTATAAAGCCAGTAGAGTGTAAAGTCTTGGCAGCATCTTTTAAGTGATTTAGATTTCATCATTCAATGACTCATTTTTATTCCCAGCATCTAGTGCTTTTTGCATGGCCCAAAGGGGCCCTATGCTGCTCCACTACCAAGGAAACTTCAAGAAATGCTCGTTTGCTACAGTGTTTTAGCTTGTGAGAGTCTCTGGGACCTTCCCTGCTCCATCATGGGGTCACCACTAGGTGGGTATTAGGAGGAAATTTGTAATTAATTTTTTAATAAAGAACTTGATAATCTTTTGTGGTCCAAGGAAATTTATATTTAACAGCCAGTATCTTAACGTGTTTTCCTGGCTTCAGCATAGTGTCATCTTAAAGATTGTTTTTCTAGCAGTGTTCTTTAAATCAAGAGGCTAAAATATTTTGTAGACTGCATAATTTGTTCTTAGTTACTGTCATCAGAAATGCTTCCCATGTCCTACTTTTCCTAGATTACCAGATCTTTGTCCTTTTTTACACCAAAGTAGTGAAGCTATGGCTGGGAGGAGAATAGGATTGGGGTAGTTAAAAGAAAGCCAGTTTGAAGTGAGAACTCAAGTATAATCTCACTCGTCTGGCTTCCCCTCCCCTCAAATCTTTTCCCCTCATGTTTCCAGACAACCTTTCCTTCATTCTTCCTAAGATGAGGAGATGGGATCTAACTGCATTGGGTGTTAAAAGCTGTCACTTGACAACAATAGGGGCCTCTTTAGGAGACAGGTTATTCAGAAGGAACCTCCCCACTCACATTTTGCCTCTTCTGATCTTTTTACTGTGAGCTTCCTGGCCATTTCCTGGAGATACTAGTGTATCTTTCTCTGGCATTTTTGCATCACTTCAGGGACTAACATGAAAAACGTCATGTTTGGTCATGACCTAAGGTCAATCTGGGCATGTTGGCACACACCTATGGTCCCAGCACTTGGGAGGCTGAGGCAGGAAGATTGCAGTGAGTTTGAAGCTAGCCTTGGCTACGTAGTGAGTTCAAGTCCAGTCTGAACTGCACAACAAGACCCTGTCTCAAAAAACTGAGCCAAGAAAACAAAAAGAACCCCACAACACCTTACATCAGTAATAGCAAACCTTTAGAACCTTCAGTGATACAAGCAGTCTGTTGTAGCACACGTGCTGTAGGTTCACCACCCCTGTCTTAGGTTTTCTTGAGACCATGATTTTAAAATATTAAAAGAGCCAGCCACTCAGGTCACCTAATGCTTCCCCCCAATACTCCTTTGGGCCCAAAGAGGAAAACAAAGATGTCTTCTTATGCTTAAAACCTGTCTGCAAATGGCTTAATGTTTAGTGTACATTATATCTCAAAAGTGTTATTTTTAGGAAGTTGACTGTGATAGAGATTTCTATTTCCTTTACAGGTCATTTTACGTGGGACAAATACCTAAAAGAAACATGTTCAGTCCCAGCACCTGTCCATTGCTTCAAGCAGGTAATTGATTCTCAACATCATTAGTATATGGGAGACAAGTATGTTTATTTTGTTGTTGTTGGGGTTTTTTGGTTTTGGTTTTGTTTTGTTTTGTTTTGTTTTGTTTGTTCTTAATCAGTATATGATGTGGGAGCCCTTTGGCTTCTTACCTGAGGACTGCAGAACAAACTTGCAGAACAAACTTGGATGGGAGGAATAGAAACTCAGCAGATAAATTTGGCTACTGTAAGTTTTAGCAGCATTCTTCTCAGCTTCATCCCAAGTCGTGCTCTTTTCTTCTTCTTCTTCACTTTGAGGATATTGTATTACTAGGGGAAAGATGCCAATTTTAATCGTAGCTCTTAATTCAGACAGACAAGACAGAGACTTCTAGCCCTTAGATGGTACCTGAAAGTGAAGCAATATGTCTTTCCTTGTACGTAACACACTGCCACGATCTTACTTTTCTTTAAGACTTATGACACTAAATCCCATTGGGAAAAGTTTTGGGAGTTCGTCAGAGGTCATCCAGAGCTTCCCACATAGAATTAAATGTTCCAAACAATTTATAAGTGATTTTGATTGTGTCAGTAACTGATAAGGCTCGTAAGCAAAGAAATTACTCCTAAATAGAGCTAAACATGAGGAAGTTATTTACATTTCTCTTCCTTTATTACTCACTGATTATAACCTCTGTCAGCATTTCATTTTGAGTTCCATTTTCTAGGTAAAAATATAAATTCAGAACATCTTTTCACTTCAAATGACAGGGACTAAATTCCTATTTTCACCTGAAACATGTTTTTAAAAGTCAAAATATAGTAAACAATAATTTTCAAATCACCAATGACCAAGCAACTAAACAATGATCTCTGAGACAGGGGCAACTAATAAATTGAGCCCTGTGTGATTTTCCAGCTTCCTGCCTGGAGAGTTTTTAGATCATTGTTCACAGAAGGGAAATGTAGGTTGATATAGAAGATTCCCTAATTTAAAGAAATAAGAGTCCAGGGACACATTAGTAATACCTACCATATGATTCAGCCATTTCAATCTTAGGTATTTATGGAAGAGAAAAGAAAGTCAGTTGGCCTTCTATGTGTGGATTTCACATTTGTGAATTTGACTGATTGCAGATAAAAAATGTTTGGAGGAAATTTGTGCCTGTACTAAACATATATAGGTTTTTTTTTCGTGTCATTATTCCTTAAACAACACAGTAAAAGAACTGTTTACATAGCATTTATATTGTATTAGATATTATGAGTAATTCAGAGATGATTGAGGAAGATGTGTTGAGATGATACAGGAAGATGTGTGTAGGTTATATGCAAATGCTATGCCATTTTATATAAGGGACTTGAGCATCCATGATTTTGGTACTTGAGGGACATCTTGGAATTAATCCTCTCCGTACACTGATAGGCAAACTGTATATTTCTTTGTGAAATTTACACAGGATCAGTCATAGCAATTTTATTAGTAAAAAAGTAGAAAAAAACAGATGAACATTAACTTATGTACTACTCAGCAACAAAAATAACTGAATTACAAGTTGAGTATCTCTTATCCAGACTTTTGAAGACCAGAAGTGTAGTGTTTTGGATTTCACATTTTTTCAGATTTTAGAGTATTTGCATATACATAATGAAATATCTTACAGATATGACCCAAGTCTAAACATGAAATTCATGAATTTTAAGTATACTTCATACACATAGCCTGATGGTAATTTTACACATTCTTAGTGTGCCTGTGTTTTGAATGCAACTCATCACATGGACTCAGGTATGGAATATTTGACTTGTAGTATTAACATTAGTACTCAAAAAGTTTCAAATTTGGGAATATTTTGGACTTCAGATTTCAGATTGGAAATAACCTATTTGATATATTCAATAATGTAGGTACTTATCAAAATAATTATGCTGAATTAATGCTATACAGAAAAAAAGTACATCTTCTATGATTATATATAAAACTAGAAGGTGAAAACCGGTCTACAGTGTAGAAAGTATATAAGTGGTTGCCTGGGCATCAGGGTCTGGGAGGGGCCAGAAAAAGGGCTACAAAGGAACATTCACGAGTTTAGGGTGATGGTCACACTCATTATCTTGATCCTGGAGATGCTTTCACAAGTGAATACATATGTCAGGACTTGCCAATGTGTATATAGTTTATTTTATATCAATTATATGAGTTGATTTAAAAGTTAATATGAAACTAATAACTCCACTCCCAGTGGTACTGTAGTCTGTGTGATAGAGATGCAGACCACTATGTCCAAGGATATGGTAGCTGAATAGAATGTAGAGGTTCTGAAAAGAAAATATTATACCCGAACGCATAAGAAGTTGGAGAAGATAGAAGGAGAAAGCATTAAAGCAAGTAGACTGTATGTGATACTGTTATCCTTTTTTTCCCCGACTGGTGTGAGGCAGTATATGGTGCTTCAGAAGAAAGTAAATTTTCCCTTCATCTTACCTTATACTGTTTCTTCAGTATAAAACCTTTCCTAAATGTTAGGGCATAATTCAAACTTGTCCCTGGTTCAGGTGTAACCAGTTAGAGTCCAAAGCATACATTTTCTGTTATTTTTTTTTCTATTAACAGTCTTATTGAAAATGCAGTTTACTGTATTTTTGTTCTGCCTAATCCCTACGGCTTGTTCTTCTCAGTCCTATACACCTCCAAGCAATGAATTCAAAATCAGCATGAAATTGGAAGCACAAGACCCCAGGAACACCACATCCACCTGTATTGCCACAGTAGTTGGATTGACGGGTGCCCGCCTCCGCCTGCGCCTTGATGGCAGTGACAACAAGAATGACTTCTGGCGGCTGGTTGACTCAGCTGAAATCCAGCCTATTGGGAACTGTGAGAAGAATGGAGGCATGCTACAGCCCCCTTTGGGTGAGTTACTAGACCCACGCTCTTCCCAGCAAATCTTTTACGTCCCCTTGTACATTCTGTTATGAGAAGTATAGAGTCCTTGCCTAGCTCTTTACTTTTACTTGGTCCCTACAAAAGATCCTATCCAAAATGAAATGAGCTGCAAAATCTTGACATTTCCATCTCTACATTTTAGCCTGTTATGTCTAAATGTCTCTCAGACTCTACCTTTCCCAGCAAGAAAGTACACCTTTCTTTCTTATCAGTACCCATTTACACGAAGAGAGAAAATTGAAGGTGGTCTTTCCGTTTAGTGTATTTCAAAAAGCCCAAAGCTAAAAATACAGATGTAGATGTGCACACACACACACACACACCACAGAGGTTTCACTAAATCCAGTAATGATGACAAGGCATGAGAGAAAACTCTCCTAGTAAAAACGATGACTGTTGTAAGAATCTCTTATCTCCTCCCCCTCCACTTAGATTTTCACTTTGTTTGTGGAATTTTCTCATTTTGAATCTGTTACTTTGCTTAAACTACTAACCCCACTAGATTTTTCTCTTCCAAATTAGAGTCACTTTTTTTTCTTGACCTCAAAATACCTAACAGATTCATCCCATCTAATCAATCATGGTTGAAGTGGGTCTTAATGAGCTATAGAGAGAGAGGAATGGGTTATGGATTTTAGGCCATGGTCCCCTCAGGAAGCTGGGCTAGACTGAGGATAGGGAATATGTATCATTTGAAAGCACACCCTAGGGTCTCACTATGCAGTTCAGTCTGGCCTTGAATTCACTATGTAGCCCAGGTTGGCCCTGAACTCCTGGTGATCCTCCTGCCTCAGCCTTCCAAGTGCTGGGATTATAAGATTGCACCACCATACCTGGTTTATCACATGTAAATTAACTACAAATTCTTAATACATATTTGATCTTTGTCAGAGAGGTTATAACACCAGTGCTCCTCAAACTCTTTAATGGAATTGAAAGGAAAAAAATGCTTCCAAACTCATTCCGGGAAGCCAGATAAGGATCCAACTAACAAAAAGAAAACTACAGGCCAGGCTCTTTAATGATCATAGACACAAAAATCCTCAATAAAATATTGGCAAAAAGAATGCAACAGATCATCAAAAAGATAATACTTCATGACCAAATATATTTCATCCCTTGGATGCAACGATGATTCAACATATGCAAATCAATATATATAACACCACATAAACAGAAGCAAGGACAAAAATCACTAGCATATCAGTAGATGCAGAAAAAACTTTTAATGAAGCCTGATAAAATCCCTAAATAAAATAGGTATAAATGGATCTTACCTCAATCTGATAATAGCCATTTATGACAAAACAAAAACCACATCATATTAAATGTAGAGAAGCTGAAATCTTTCCTTCTAAAATCAAGAACAAGGGCTGGAGATATAGCTCAGCAGTACATTGCCTGCCCGACCAAGCACAAGGCCCTGGGTTCAATTCTAAGCACAAAGACAATAAAATCAGGAATGAGACAAGGATGTCCACCATCACCACTTCTGTTCTCTGTAGTTCTCTAAACATTAGCCAGAGCAATTAGGCAAAATGAAGAAATAAAAGGAATAGGTATAGGAAAAGAATAAATCAGAATATCATTATTTTCAAATGACATGATCCTTTACATAGAAGACCCTCCAGAAAAAGCTCACCAAAAGACTTCTACAAGTAATAACCAAACTCAGAAATGTAGCAAGATATAAAATCAATTCAAAAATCAATAGCATTTCTGTACATCAATAATGAACTCGTTGAGAAAGAAATTAGGAAAATAATGCCATTCTTAGTAGCATCAAGAAAAATTAAATACCTAGGAATTAACCTAATCAAGGAAGTGAAAGGTCTCTACAATAAAAACTATAGAACTCTAAAAAAGGAGATTGGAGAGGATATTAGAAAATGGAAAGATAGGTCCCTGTTCCTAGAAAAATAGAACCAATGTTGTCAAAATGGCCATATTCCCAAAACTGATAATCAGATTTAATGTAATCCCAATCAAAAGATCAATAGTATCGCTCACAGAACTGGAGAAAACAATTCTAAAATTTACATGGAACCAGAAGAGGCCCAGAATAGCAGCAAAAGAAATCCTCGGTACTAAGAACAAGGCAGGAAGCATCACAGTCCCAAAGTTCAAGTTATATTGCAAAGCTACGTGATAGAAACAATATGATACTGGCACAAAAACAGACATGTGAATCAATGGAGAGAACAGAGGATGCAGAAACAACCACAGACACATTTAGCCACCTGGTCTTTGACAAACAGGCCAATAACATACACTAGAAGAAAGAAAGCCTTTTTAGCAAATAGCGCTGGGAAAACTGACTACCCACCTGCAGAAGACTGAAGCTAGACCCCTATCCTTCACCATGTACTAAACTAAAATCAAATGGATCAAAGTTCTTAACTTTAAAACAGAAATAACCTGCTGGAAGGTAAAATAAGTAAAACTCTTGAGGTTATAGGCATAGGCCTTTCTGAATGAAAGTTATAGTTATAGGACTTTCTGAACGAAATTCCAGTTGCTCAAGAAATAATACAAAGTCAACCAAAGGGAATATAATCAAATCAAAAAGCTACATAACAAAGCAACTAGCCAATAGAGTGAAGAGACAACCTACAGGATGAAAAAAAAATTTGCCAACTACACCTTGGACAGAAGACTAGTATTTGCAATATATAAAGAACTCAAAAAATTAGACCCCCTCCAAAATAAAAGACCTAATTTAAAAATTGGCAACTGAAATGTATAGATACTTCTTAAGAAGAGAAAGAGGTACAAAAGGCCCATAAATACACAAAAAATGCTCATAAATGCACAAGGCCCATAAATACACAAAAAATGCTCAGCATCATTGGCCATTAGAGAAATGCAACACTGAAAATTTATGTTACTCCAGGAAAGAATGGCAGTCATGAAGCAATCAAGTAATAATAAATGTTGGCAAGACCATAGTACAAAAGGAGCCATCAAATGTTTAAGGACCCAATCAGGTTTTGGAGAAACAAATATTCATTGCGGGGACATAGTATAGTACAATCCTTGTTGGAGGTAGGGGTCATACAACTTTGTAGCATCTGAGAAGCATTATATATGCATTTTATCATTTGACACAACAATCTCACTTCTATGAATTGGATTATGAAGCTATACTTCTGCAAAACTGAAGCAAAATGGCTATTTTTTTTGCAACATTATTAAGAGATTTATTGAATGTAATATAGTACATTTATACAGTGAAGTATCATTCAACCACAAACTAGAATGAATATCTCTGTAAACTAACACACAGTGATTTCCAACCTAGTTTGTTAATATGAGAAAAGCAAGTTACAGAAAAAGTATATATACTATACTACCTTATGAGAAAGAGAAGGGAAAATGTGTTTGTATGTAATACACACGTATAATGTGAATAAGATTGTATATAGATGTATTTTTTCATTATTGTAAAAAAGAAACAGAGTGAAACTAATGAGAGTGAAACTAATGTGTATTCTGTAAGATTCTCCAGGAGATTTCAGCATCCAGGTTTGCCTACAGCAAAAACTAGCTTCTAGTGATCTACTCAGGTGTGTTAGGATCCCAAAATAGACTGCTTATACTGAGAAAAATTGGTCACATGCTCTGAAATATATATGGTACACTGACTTGAAAAAACTCTTTGTATGTTCCTGTCACTGGTCAATCTTTACTTACTAAGTAGCCTCCAAGATCAGTAGAAAGATGAGTCATGAAAGATACGTGTCTAATCTGAATTTTACTGAAATTTGTACAGTAAAACACAAAACAAACTTTCAAAGAGAAAAGACTTTGACCACAGTGGCTTCAATGTTTATTTTATAAAAGTAATTTTTAAAAATATTCACTGAAATCTCTTCTATGTAACTAGGCTCTTGGTATTGGGCAACGACAGAACTATCTGTACCTTTGATTAGGCACAACTCCCATCCTTTAATTAGTCTGAATAAACCTGTGTTTGAGGGGTCATAGAGAAGTGGTGATAGAGTCTTGCCAGGACTGAAAGGAGGCCTGGCAGTCCTTCCCAAATACCAGCAGATAAATATTCTCTTCCTCAGAACTGCTTTTCTAGTTCTCATCCTCCTTCCTCTTGTCTTGGGTGAAGTTTTAAGAGTCTACCAAAGCAGGCTGAAAACACTGTGTTAGCTCATTGTCTTCAGCTGACAAATACAAGAACAGGGAAAGGGAGGTAAATTGTCCAGTGTTGTCCAGTGAGTGAGTGCCATACTTCTGTATGTGTATTTACATGTAAGGCTCCTCAGGGGGTAGGTACCTAATGAGTTGGGAATGTCATGGAAACATGTTGACTGAGTCTACTAACTCCACAAAGCTTGGAATCATACATAGGATAGTAGAAGAGTTGAGTTGGAGCCATGTATGGTGCCTAAAGTGAATGCTATTCTGTTACGTGCCACTAGAGGGTGGAAACCATGATTAAATTACAGACCTGCTGGTCTACCTTTTTTTTTTTTTTTGGGTGAGACAGGGCCTCACTATATAGTGCAGGCTGGCCTGGAACTTGCTTTTGTTGCCCACACTGGCCTCAGACTCACAGGAATCCTCTCCTGCCTCACCTTCCCCAGTGCTGGGGTTACAGGCGTGCGTCACCACTTCCGGCTTGCTGTTCTATTTTTAAATCCAGAACTTTGTCAGGGCCCTAGTTTACACAGAAGCTCTTTAGAACTGCGTATTTATGAAGATTTTCAAACTAAATCATAGGTGAGTAAGCACAGAGCACTTACACACTGCTTTGAATTAAAAAGAGATCTGACTTTGTAATGTAAGCCTAACCAGTGACTACTTCAGTTGTTTGGCTGTAATAAATTGCTTTACCTTGTCCTTAAACCTTGAGTTTCATTGCCTCACATGCAAGATCATTAATAAACTCCATTGCACATGACCTTTTGAGGATTAAGTGGAGTAACATCATAAAGCATCCATTAATTTCTGGTACCCACTTAATAAGTATAAATTATTTTCCTTCATTTAAAACTCCTATGGGTGTAGTATTCAAGTTGAAGAAGATATACACATTAATATACTCAGACACTAAGTGGGGTAGGAATAAAGGGAGCAGGATAGATTTAAAAGACTACTTTAGGTAATCTAAGTATGCCTCTCTGAGGAAATGATGTTTAAGCAAAGAACTAAACAAAGATTTGAGGAAAGGCTGTCTGATGGAGAGGGAAATAGTTTAGTGTGTTTGAGGAACAGAGACGAAATGGAAATAAGTTTAGATTTATTTTGAGTTGTATGATGTAAGCATCAGAGCAATCAGATCTGATTTATATTTTTAAAGACATAAATATAAGTGACTTCTGTGTGGAGACCAGATTGTAAAGAGGCCCAGCCAGAAAGAAGGAGTGCAGTGAGATGGCTAATAGTTTGACTGTGGCTTAGAGTGATGTAGCAGTGGAGATGGTGATACATGGTCCACTTTAGGATTTACTAAGTCCAGAAGCCGTTAAGACTTGCTTATTAATTGGATCTGCAAGTTATTGGAAGGCAGTAATCTAGGGGACCCAAAAGCTTTTTGATCTAAGCCCTGGAGTTTAATAAATGGTACCATTAAATGAGAGAATGATTGGAGGAAAGAACATATTGGAGGAAATAGTAAAATCAAAGTTATATGTTAGACTTTGAGCTCCTTTTTGCATATATTCAAGGAACATTGTAGAATCGGTTGGATACATGAGCATGAAACTCAGGGAAGAAGTTTGGGCTACAGACACTAACTGGCAGTGATGGTTTGATGGGAAAGAATGGGGACTAAGAATAGAGAGCCAGTGACTGAGTACTGAGCACCTCCCGTGTTTGGAGATTAGGAGTCCTTTTCCTTGCAGGCAACTCCAGGCCATTGTTTTACTTGAAGAGCCTTCAGTGGTTTTTATTTCCCTTTGCTTTTCTCCTACAACTTTATGACCCCAATTTTCTTACCAAGATTTGGTATGCAGTACTATTGAAGTTACTGAAGATGTTAAAGTGATGAGAAGCTGTGAAGTCTCTGGAAACAGGATTTGGGTTCAAATTCTAGTGTTGTTACTAGCTTACTAACTTTGAATATTTAATTTCTCTAATTGTTTATCTTTTTATCTATAATAATAACCAACACTTAATACCACTATATGGTAGGAATCATTTTATGTCCTTGTATATTAACTTGATCATTAGAGGAACCTTCTGAGGCAATTTCTATTTTTTTATCTCAACTTTATTGTTGAGGAAACTGAAGCAAAAGAGAGGTTTTATAGTTTGTCAAAAGTTACACACTTCTGGGAATATAGCTCAGTGGCACAGTGCCTCCCTGGCAAGCGCAAGATCCTGAGTTTGATACCTAGTACACACACTCACACACACAAAAAAAAAAAAACAGTACCTGGGAAAAGGCAGAGCTGCCTTTGTGTCCAAGCAGTCTGGCTCCAGAAACAGTGCTACTTTTCTAGTGTCCAATTCAGAGTTGTAGTAGTGGTTAAATGAGTTAACTCTAAGTTATCTCAGTGGAGCCTGGCACATAATATGTGCATAATAAATGTTGACTTTGGGTGACAGCATAGTGTAGTACAGGAAAACAGAGAGGAAGTCTTAGAGTTCCATCCCAAACTCTGTAAGAGTAAGATGGGTGACCACAAATTTCTTAACCTCTTTGAACTTTAGTTTTGTCATCTGCAGTGTAAAGTCTTTGGATTAGTTGTCCGTGAAGTCTCTTCCAATGTTAATTCTGTGCTGTATGTGACTCTTAAGAATACTGAAACAGTGTCAGGTACTTCTGAATTTGGATAGACAGGGTTCCACATCACTTTGAGGGTTGGGGAATAAGGCACCTTAGCATTTCCTTGGTAACATTTGTACTTTGCCCTTCTGCTCTTGAAGAAGCTTGCTAGAAGATAGTGACACATAGTAAAGAACTGGGAAGTCTGGGGTAAGTCCATCATATGTTGAAATCTGTTTGTATTACTTACTAGTGTGACTTTGGATAAGCTATTCTCTGTTTCTGTTTCATTAGTAAACTGGGAATAAATGTGCATGCCTTGTGTTACTTCAAATATTGACTAAGATATATCATGTAAAATGTTTATAAATGGTATGCATTTAATACATATTAGCTATTACGATAATACTATTATAAAGATTCCCAGAGCTAAGAGGATTTTTTAGCTCCTCAAGTTCCAGGTCAGATAGAAGACCCTCAGAAATCCATTCCTTAACATGGAATTGGAAACTACATGGCTGGGCACTCCAGTCATTAGGACCTAAGGGCATAAAGTCTGAATCTTCTAATTGTGCAGTTGTGCCTCCTTGCTCTCTCTTTCACCAAGTGTAGGGAGCACTATTATGGAACAGTTCTGCATTTCTGTACCTTATCCATAGTGTACTAAACCCTTCATGGAAAATCTGTTGTAGGTTTGGCTTGCTTCAGCCCTCTGTCATCTAAGGAGAATTGTTTCTCTCTGTGTCTCTCTCTGTCTCTCTCTCTCTGTGTCTCTCTCTGTCTCTCTTTCTCTCTTTCTCTCTCTTTCTCTTTCTCTTTTTCTCTCTTTCTCTCTTTCTCCTTCTCTCTCTCTTTCTCTCTCTCTGTCTCTCTCTCTCTCTCTCACACACACACACACACACACACACCCCACTCCTGAATGTCTTGAGGGTATTGTTTTTAAACCATGGTCTAAGGAAGAGTAGTGATCAAAAACTTAACTCAAAGCAGTAGAGACAGAGGAAAAGGAAAAAGGCAGAAATTCTCACCAAGCAGCCCAAGGAGCTGCCTGGTTTTGAATGTGTCTGAACAGAGAGTTTTAAACTAGCATTTCTCTCCATTCCTGCCCCTACTTTGACCTCTGGTATGTTCTTCTTGTGGAAGTGTCAAACCTGCACACATGCGTACAGCCATGAAGTCAGAAAAATGCTCCCTTCTCCATTATACATATGAGGTTAGACGATAATTGGCCTAACTTGAGGCACAAATATATACAATCTTGGTCTAGGGCAGTGGTGGCGAACTGATGGCACATGTGCGGCAGCCAGATGTTTGTTATCGTTGAAAGCTCTAAGAGGTTCATCATCACTGGTCTTGGACAATCTGATGCCCCTAAATAACATTATCTGCCCGCCCCCAGCTAGGTAGGTGGGACCATTTGACTGACCTCCCCACCAAATCATGTAGAATTAAGGTAGTGTTTTCTGTTTTTATAAGGAAAAAGAAAGAAAAGTAAAAGAATGTATTTATATTGAGATAAACCAAAGTGATTTGCTTATACATTAGGCATATCAGTTGACATCTTAGTTTCTTAAGAGACCATTAGTTCCCTTTTTAACTTTATTGTCTAGATTATTTCTAAGTACAGTATTTATTTTAGATTAAATGTTAACCTTGCTTTTGCAATTGTTGATGTGGATGAGCTATCCTATGATCTCTCTTGAATTTGGAATGGTTTGCTTAGCCTCACCAGCTTTGAGACAAAAAGGGGGTGGGTGGTTTAAGTCGTGTCGAGGTGTAACTCTGATCAGTCCTACTTCATTTTCTCTCATCTTCTCTCCCTGACTCTAACTATAGTTATTAACTCCTAATCCCAAAATCTGATTTTTTATTTTTCATTTTACCTGTATGTTGACAGTCGAAGAAGATAAGAATATGGGCTCAGGATTTGGATTTCTTGGGTTTCAATCCTATCTCTGTCATATGTATATCTTGAAATCTTAATTAACTTTTGCCTGTTATTCCTTTATAAAATAAAAATAACATATCTCCCAGGGGTATCTTAAGGCTTAAATTAGAGAGTAATGGAAAGTGATTGGAATAAGGCCTAGCATACAGTAAACTATTTAAGAATAGCAAGAACTATTATTTCCAACTCTGAAGCTTTGGTGCACCTTACCTGTTATTTTGAATGGAATGAGAAGGCTGAGTGAGGTGGGAGACTATCAAAAAGCATTATATTTTAGTATCTTAGAATGGAGAATTAAAGCCAAATTGAAAGAAATTCCTGGAGATGGAATTGAAAGACCTAGTTAGAATAGTGATCTTAGTTTAGTTTTATAATTCATTCATTAAATAGTATACTCTTACTGATTTTGTTTTGTGGATGACAGTGGACAAGTAACTTCTCCAGGCTTCTTGTTACTCTTTCAGAAAATGAAGGTTTTGGTATAGGATGAGGCAGTCATCATTCCCTAATCCTTAGTTGTTTAAGTAAGTAAGGAATATCAAAACGTCTTTTGTACTCGATGTGTGTAAGCACATGTGACTGAGAAAGAGACAGAAAAATGGTGAATTAGTTTATATTGAGATAAACCAAGGTTATTTAATTGTAAACTAAGCTTATTTTTCTTTTTTTTTTTTTTTTTGGTTTTTCTCCGGTACCGGGAACCGAACTCACGACCTTGCGCTTGCCAGGCAGGCGCTTTTGCCGCTGAGCTAAATCCCCAGCCCCTGTAAACTAAGCTTATGAGTTGATATGTTCAATTTCTTCTTAAGAGACTATTAATTAAGGCACCTTTTCAACTCTACCTCCAGATCATTTCTAAGTATTTGTATTAGAAAGAAAACTATTCTAGGCATTATAATATATATCAATAATATTTATCCTGGAGTCAGGAAACTTGGTTTGGGAACTTGTCTCAATACTTATAGCATTGCCCTGGAAAAATTACATTCCCCACAATGTGCCTCCTTTTCATTTGTGTAATGAGGTGTTTCTTTTATTTAGCTTTTAAATCCTTTCCTAGCAGCCTGTGATTCTATAACTATTACAGCATAGGTTGTAGCTGGGATATCAGAATTCCAAAGAGAAAATTTGACAGAACCATGCTCTTCTAAAACATTTTTAAAAATCTATTCTCTGTTATGTTTGCTGCAGGATTTCGGCTGAATGCCTCCTCCTGGCCTATGTTCCTTTTGAAGACACTAAATGGAGCAGAGATGGCTCCCATCAGGATTTTCCATAAGGTACACTGTTCCTCAGATATCACCAACTCCACGCTGCTTAAGTTCAAGTACCTCCTTTTAATTACTGAGTCACTGGTATCTGTATTTATGGCTTGAAGATGCCTTCTCAGAAATTTATTCAATAGGATTTTTAGTACATATGAAGCAGCAGTTATTGTTGGAAAAATGTATTAGGCTGTAATAAGATAGGAGTTTTGGGTTTTGGGTCCCATTTGTTAATAATCAACTAATCTAATAAGATCTGTTCTTCACCTTACCTACAGGTGGAATTCTATTTTACCTCATAGGTTGTTAAGTTAAAATGTTTATTAGAGGAACTATAAAATATAATGCAAACCAAAACGCACAATTCTTAGAGACTTCTGTAGAAATGTATGTTAGAGAAAAAGAGAGGAAATTATTTTTTGAGTGCCAACAAAATATTTGGGACTTTATATGTACTATCTCATTTAATACCCCAGCTAACTTTATGGACAGAACTATTAGTTCCATTTAATAGTTAAGTTGACGTACTTTTGAGGAAGGAACTTACTCAAGAGGACATAGTTAGTAATTGGTAGAACAGATATCTCAAAGTTGTGTTTGTTCTTCCTTGTTGCTCAAAGGGAGAGGTAGCCTAAATTAAAGTGGGACATACTGAATTCTCTAATGGGGTGAGAATTACTGTAAATAAGATGGATTTTTTTAAAAAGACCAAAGGGAAGGTAGAGGAAGGGGGGAAAAGAATCAAGATGTATCATGTGCAGGTTAAATTCCCTATGATTCATGTGATCGTTCTGTATACCTAAAATGTACTAATAAACTAAATTAATTTTTAAAAAACTAAATTAGATTTGCCTGGGCTGCTAGTTAAATCTAAACCCTGAAAACATTCTGGTTCCCAAAACAATGTCCAGGACAACTTGAAAACTTTCTCTATAAAATACTCCAGAGTTCTGGGAGGGGGGAACCTCAACAAATATTCTTTACAGTTCTTTGCTGAACTTACTAAGAAGTAATGAAATTCTTCACAGACCAAACATAAGAAAAGCAAGTGTCAGATGTGTGTGTTGAACCTGTAGCTGCCTTAAGGGGCTTTGTCAGTCATTTTATGCCAAGAATCTTGTCTTTTTACATCCATAGTAAGACACAAGATGAGGCCTTGAGCCCATGCAAGGCAAGCAAATGAACCTTAAAGTGCCACATTTAAAATGAAATCAGACCCCTCAGATATACACCCTTTAATGAAAAGATGATTACATTAATGAGGAAGAGTCTCTGCTGGGCGCTGGGCAGGGGTAGCAATGGAATCACCTCTTTTGATTAAACAACTACCTCTTTGTACCCCAGGGTTCATATATACTCCTCATGTTTTCTTATGAACTCCAAACTTGTATGGATGGTGATATCTCTGAGTACCTGATAGAAGAAGTAAACCCAGAATCTCTCTAGAGGGTTTAATGTCACAGAAATCCCCAAAATGAAGTGCCTCTGAAGATGAGCACTTAGTTTCAAATCAGAAAGTCCTCAGAAACTTTCAAAACATATCTGCCTTACTGAGGAGTGACTAGATACAACAAACAGCAATACAATTCCCAAGGACTTTCTGGTAATGGAAATATCAGCTAGAGATTCTGAATTAAGTATTTGAAAATGACTAAAGGAATAAAAATGAGAAAAGTAAAAAGCACTTTTTGTAGCAGTCAGATTAGAACAAAGACTAAATTAAACACATGGAAATGAAACATCTAGAAATTTCAAATCACTGAAATTAAAAATCAGTAATTTAAACATTCATACCTGATGAATTAAGTGAAAGACATAGGTAAAGGATTTCACCAAATTGCAGTACAGAAATAAATAGTTGAAACTATTAGAGGGAACTATTACAAGGCCCAATAGATGTTGAATATTAAATTTTAAAAAACATTAATTAGAATAAAAAAGAGACAATATTTGAAAAGATAAAGACCTAGTTTTCAAAGTTTTGTAAATGGAGAGGAAAATAAGAATTGTAGAAAAGGGAGGAATGGAGGAAAAAATAATTAAGATATATTATATATGGGTACAAATTCTTTATGATGAATGTGATCATTATGCATGTCAAAAATGTATCAATAAAATTAATTTTTTAAAAACCTGAGTTTTCCAAAGCAATAAAAACAAATACATGCCTTAAAATATCATCTTAAATCTGTAGGAAACTAAAGTTGAAAGAGATCCGGAAAGTAATTAAATAGTATCTTTCAAGAGATTGCAGTTAGCTGACAGCATATTTCTTGACAGCAGCAGTACAAGCAAGAATATAATAGAATAATATTTTAAAATACTGATAAAAATAGTCATCTACCTAGAATTCTGTAGTTATACTATTACTTCAGAATGAAAGTAAAAATCAGTCTTATCAAATATGTTAATGGAGTATAAGTGGACACTAACATATGCACTGATTGAGCAAATGAAGAATAGATTTTAGTAAGGAGGTAATTGAGCCTTAAAGTAAGAATGAGATTCAATAAATAATGATGCATGCTTGCTTCAGCAGCACATATTCTAAAATTGGAACAATACAAAGATTAGCATGGTACCTTGCAAAGATAACATATAAATTCATTAAATATTCCATATTTTAAAAGTTAAAGAGAATAGGGAATAGGTTGAAGTGTTAAAAAAATAGCATATGATTAGTAATTTTTAAATCTAAATAACAGTTCTATTATATTATGCTTTTTATTCTATATATCTAAAACTAGTGGTATAATGGTAGGGAAATCAGTTTAACATGTGCATAAACTATACAGTGTAAGCTGGGCATGATGCCATACATCTGTAATCCTAGCATTTATTTTTTTTTTTTATTTTAAGGATAAAAGGAGGGAAACATTAACAGACATACAACATTTTACAACATATCACAAGCACAATACAGACAATACAGAGTTACAAACAAAGTGGTAGGGAATTAACAATGGTGGTTGTATTACATATTGATATCTTCAAAGTGGCTTCTCATGAAAACAGATATAGACATGCAATACTGGTCCTAGCATTTAGGAGGCTGAGGCTGGAGAATCACCGCAAGTTGAACCCTGACCTAGGCTACATAGTGAGTTCAGAGCTAGCCTGAACTACATAACAAGACTGTCTCAAAAGAAAGGAAGCAAGCAAACAAGCAAGCAATTACAATTACAAAAGTGATTAATTAGTAGTATAACAGTGTAGAACTAAATTATCTATACCTGTGTAACCTAGGAGTAGTTAAAAATTTTGACATTCTTGTATTATTTAGGACTAAAAATAAAGATGAAGTTTGTTGTTATTGTTTTGACTGGGGGTGCTGTTGCTTTACTGTGGCCCAGCTCAAATTTTCAGTCCTCCTGAATCAGCTTCCCAAAATGCTGAAATTACAGATTTGCACTACCCTACCCAATTTAATACATTCATGTAGGGGTCATAATTCATGTGCCTCGCTGCTGGGCAGCTTGAACTACCAGTAGTATGTATATGTCTGTCCCACACATGACTGTACCACTTCTACCACCAGTAATTCAAGCCGCCTGAAGGCACAGTCATCCATGTTCAACAAATATAGCAACTTGTAGAATGATTATACAAAGCACTTTTTAAAGCAGTTAGGTTAGAACAAAGACTAAATTAAACACATGGAAATGAAACATCTAGAAATTTCAAATCACTGAAATTAAAAATCAGTAATTTAATAAATAAATATAATATAAATAATTATATATATATAATTTTAAAACATGCAAGTGGATATGTACATGTGTAATAATAAAGTATAAAAACAAGGATGGATAATCATTGCCTCTGTGATAGGTGGAAGGAAATGGGATGAGGAAGATACAAAGAGAGGTTCAACTTTATCTGTAACCTTTTATTTAAAAAATAACTGACACATAGATGTCAAAATGTTAGGGTTAATAAAGTAATACTTTGATATATTTTGAAATCCATTTAAAAGGAAGACTAATTCTCCAATAAAAATCATGCTTAGGAATCACTGTCTGATCATCCAAATGTTTGGCACACAGTCTGTTGGCATGCTCAGCCTCTTTGTTGTGTCTAGGTCTGTGTATCTGTTTTTCATCTAGGAGCCACCATCACCTTCCCACAACTTCTTCAAAATGGGAATGAAGCTGGAAGCGGTGGACAGAAAGAACCCTCATTTTATTTGCCCAGCCACTATTGGGGAGGTTCGGGGCTCAGAGGTGCTTGTCACTTTTGATGGGTGGCGAGGAGCCTTTGACTACTGGTGCCGCTTTGACTCCCGGGACATCTTTCCTGTGGGCTGGTGTTCCTTGACTGGAGACAACCTACAGCCACCTGGCACCAAAGGTAAAGGCCCATCTGTTGAGGTAATGAGGGAGATCACCCAGGTCTGTCAGTGGTCAGCCTTTCTTCCACCCACACACTTCACTAATAGGCAGAGGAGGAGCGAGGGCCAGCAATTTAGGTAGAACCAAAGCTTTAACAGTCAAGAATTAAATGTCAAATGAAGCCAGACATGGAATTTAGGAGAAAGTACAAATTGCTTGTCAAAATATCCTGATTTATTCTCAGGCAACTAGCTTCTCACCTGTCTTAATTTTGCCCCAACCCATTTCAAAGTTTGGATACTGTCATCTCAAGTAAACATCTTCCTCAGGCCTTGCAAGTCTTGTAATGAACTATCGTGACACTGTAAGTACAATTGAGAAGACTGCACCTGGATAAAATTCATTGGGCTTTGAGGTAAGACCATTGTAGGTTTGAGAACCACCTGAACTACATTTTTCACCTGTGCGGCTTCAAGGAATTAATTTACCTCATTAGATCTCTAATTCCACATCTGTAAAAGAATACATATGTCATAAAGTTATTATAAGGAATGAATGAGTTACATAGACAAAATGCTTACATCTCTCAAATAACAAGTACTAAAACAATTTTTATTATATTACTGATGCTATTATTAGTTATATGCTATATTCATTATGATTATGTAATGTACTATATTATTATAGTATACTGCACTACATTATCATTATTATAATACTATTGTAAATTAACCACAACCAATAGGAAAGTATATATAAAATACTACAATAATGCCTTTGACTAAGTGACTTAAAAAATATTTTTAAGGGTGATAATGAAGATCATCCAGGATGGAGTTTGAGATAACTGCTCTTAGGAAAATAATAATAATAATCTCATCCTCTTCAGCCCAAAAAGTACTACCAAATTTGAGGGAAGGGAAAGTCACCCCTCTTGTCTGAGTTTCTTTTCTAAATGTCTCTTGAATTCATTCATTCAATTAACCAAATATTTATTGAACACCTAACTGCAAGCCAAACTGAGGATGTAACCGTGACAAAGAACATTGTTCCTGACCCCATTGCACTTCTATTCTAGTGGGGTGAGACAGAAAATAAACGTTTAAATCAAGAAGTAAGATCATTTCAGGAGCTGGGGATGTAGTTTAGTTTTAGTGTATGCTTGGCATAAGAAAGGCTCTAGGTTCAATGCCTAGTACAAAGAGACGGGAAGGATGAGGCAGGGTAGAGGGAGAGGAGGGGGGTGAGAGGAGGAGGAGGAAAAGAAGGGAAAGGAGGAGAGGGTGGGAGGGAAGAAAGGAACGGAGGGAAGGGGAGAGGAAGGAAGGAGGGAAGAAAGGAAGGATGGCAGGCAGACAGGCATTTAGGATTGATAATTTCTAGAGAAAAATGGGTAATTTTTCCTAAGGAAACAAAACTTAGTAAATAGATAGTGAAGGTATGGTTATAAGGAAATTTTTTCTTTAATAGCTTTATTGACATATAATTGACATAAAATAAATGGCATATATTTAAAATACACAACTTGAAAATTTTTGGCATAAATATATATTCATGAAACTATTACACAATCAAAATAATAAACATTTCTATCATACCCTAAAGGTTTCTTGTAGAGGGGGAACTTCTTTGGGTAGAATTTTTTTCAGAAAAATTTGTCTGAAAAGTTTGGATTGAAATCTGAATGATGAGAAGGAGCCATCATCCAAGAAAAGAGAATCTCAAGTATGTAGATGGGACAGCTAATACTGTGGAGCTGAGACATGAGACATGCACTTCGTAGATTTAAGGGCAGAAAGCAAACTACTGTAACTAGAATGCTCAGCCTGAGTGAGAAAGTGGTACAACTTGGCACTGTGGAACCTGGCAAGGGCCAAATCATATAGGGCTGTATAAGTAAGCCAGACTGAGAGCTTTATTCTAAATTTATTAGGGAGCTGTTACAAGAGTGTAAGGAATGGAGTAACAAGACTGGATATGCTTTTTGAAAATCACTTAAACTTATATGTAGACTATACAAGGAATTTATAACTCAGCATTAAAAGAGTAAACAATCCAATTTAAAAATAGACAAAAGATTTGGATTTTTCTCCGTAGAGTATATTCAAGTGTCCAACAAGCACTTGAAAAGATGCTCAGCATTATTAATCATTAGCAAAATGTAAATTAAAACCACAGTGGGGTAGTACTTCCTACCCATAGGTATGGCTATAATCAAAATATGGACAGTAACAAGTATTGTGGAGAGTGTGCAGAAAGCAGAACCCTCGCACATTGTTTTTGAGGTTGTAAAATGCTTTAGTCACATTAAAAAATAGTTTGAAAGTTACTCAAAATGTTAAATGTAGTTACAATGTGACCCAGCAGTTCCATTCATATGTATATAGCCAAGAAAACAGAAAACATATGTCCACACAAAAACACCATGAATGTTCTTGGCAGCCTTTTTCATAATAGTCCAAAAGTTGAAACAACCCGAATGTTCCTCAGCTGATGAATGAATAAATAAAATATGGCAGAACTGTATAATAAAATACTATTTAACAATAAAAAAGAATGAATTACTCATAGTACTATAGCACAGACATACCATGAAACTATGGTAAGTGAAAGAAAGACCATGCATTATATGATTTCATTTATATGGAGTGTTCAGAACTAGCAAATTGTATATAGATATAAATAGCTTAGTGGTTCCCAGGTACTAGACAGGAAAATAAATGGGAAGTAGCTACTGTGGGCATGGGGTTTCTCTTTGGGATAATGAAAATGTTCTAAAATTAGATTGGGTTGATATTTGCACAATGCAAGGGCTGAGGATCTAGCTCAGTGGCACAAGTTCCTGCCTGGCAAGCGCAAAGTCTTGAGTTCAAGTCCCTGTACCAGAAAAACCCAACAACAACAAAAAGTGAATAATGATATTTGCACAACTCTGAGAATATGAAAAACTCTGAATTTTAAATGAGAATTTTGTGGCATGTGAATTATATGTCAATAAAGCTTTTACCTAAAAGATCATCTAGGCAGCTCTGTGGAGAATGGGCCATATGGTGGTAGTTGTAGATAAGGAGAGGAGGGTGGCTTGGATTAGGATAGTAGCACTGAGGTGGAGGAAGCTAGGGGCAGTATGATAAGACACACTTCTTGGTATAGAAAAGTGCCTTTCCTCTGTATGCTGCAAGAAACATGTGCCCTGAGATCAGTGTGAAAAATCCATTGCCATCCCTCTTAGTGCCTTGCAGAGGGCAAGGGAAGCAACAACAGAGGCATCTTGGTAGTGGAGTCATATTTTTGTTTACTTGAAGCTAAAATAGTGTTAAGTTCTGGTGTGGTGCTTTGGGCTTTATTCAGTAAGATGGCTATTTTATTTTTATTTTTTTATTTTTTTATTTTTTTTACTTTCTTCCCTAGAAAATTCTATTATTTTGCTGGGAAGTCTGCAGCAGTTAGGCAGTTCTGCAGAGCCAGAAGTTCTGAGAGTTTCTGTGTCCAGGAATTGTTGGGCATGCATTCCATTCTGACTGCACCCCATGCTGATAAGTATGACTCATTGTGTGGTTGATGCTTCTGGAGAAGTTTGCTGTTTCCTTTGCTTCTGTGTCTCCCTGGAGACATTAGATTTTAATGGAAGATGGCCTGAAGGACCAAGCTCCTTCCGTCATTATTCCAGCATCATTCTCTCCAGTAACTCCTCAACCTCATACTTTAATAGGGCCTACAGTGGAGCTTTCCATAATAGCAGAGATTTGGCCATCTCTGTGCCCTGGCTAAGGAGCAAGTGATACAATGTGGAAAGAATGTAATTACACAATTCATTTCACAAAACAAGATGTTCTCTGTGTGTAAGTCTGTTCTCTCTCTATCATAGTATCTCATCTGTCCTTTCTACCTTCTGGTCGGTCATTAGTGTGCAAATATTCAAAAATTTAGAGTAAGATGAGAGCATTTTGATTGTGCTAAGTAGGAAAGAATACCGATGTTCATTTAATAACCTTTCGTACATTGTTTTATTTTATCTTCCTGGTTACTTCCTGGTTTCATTTCAGATACATTTATGTATGACAAAACTGAAGTGCAGGCAAATACGTGGCTTGCCTCCAGTGATATCTTAGTCTAGAGGACGGAACCATCGACTTGCAGCTGGACATGGAACCAGCTGTCAGGGCCAATATACATTGAGCTGCATTGTCTTCATTCATGTCACCCCCATACTTTCTCCATTCTCCACTGGCTTCTCTTCAAAGCTTCATTTAAGATCCTGGATTTGGATTCCAAATCGTGGTCAGAAATAGGAAAGAGGCAGTATTATGTAATACCAGAACACTGAACTATGTTCTAATCTCAACAGGGTCACACACTTGTTTTTTCTTTGAGTAAGTTATTCCATACTTGAGAGGCTTAAATGGGTATTTGAAGGTATTTCCACTTCTTTAATACCATGTAGTTGAATGATTGTGGGAATAGCTAGCAAACAACTCCTATGACTGTCTCCTGCTTGATTCCTGATCGATCTGTCAGTCTGAAGAATCCTATGTCCCAGCTGCTGCCAGCCTCTCCCTTTCTCCCTTTGCTAGCCCCATGGTACCTCTTTTCACTCTTAAACTGATGGGCAGCAGCTACCAAGCTTCCAGTTAAGTCAGGACAGTTGGTTATAAAGAAAGCTCTTCTTTTTGTAAGCCAGTTTTTCCCTTAAAACTGAAATAGATGTACCCTTTAGGTTTTAAATTAAAAGGCAAAAAGAAAGAAAGAAGAAGAAGAAGAATTCAGTCCACATGGCATGACTATGATACTAATCAGACCTTCTGCCATCATAGTAACCCAGTCATCATCCCCTTGCTGCAATTTTAGGCTGGGAAAGCCAGTTTCAAGTTGTAGCTTAGCTTCCTATGCACTTCTACAACAATAAGATAACATAAGATAAAATGTGCTTTGCATTTATACTTTTATTAAAAATTAAGATATTGCTATTCTGGGTTATACATATATATCTAATGACTTCACATAGCATTAATTGGTCTT